GAAGGCAAGAAACATGAGAAGTCCGATTACACTTCCTTGTGGAATTCCTGACGTGTCGCTTCTCGAAGTTGATAAGTAACTACCGATTCGAACTTTCTGTATCCTGTTTCGGAGTAGTTCGTTTATCCATGCTACCACTCTAGTGTCTATACCCGAATCTATTAATTTCTTTATAAGACGATCGTGTGGAACAACATCAAAAGCTTTGGAAAATCTATTACTATCGCGTCGACCCTTTTCCCTTCATCAACTACGTCGGCTAGGTTCTGTAGAAGTGAGACTAGCTGACTTTCACATGAGAAACAATTTCTGAAACCGCGCTGACCCTGATAAAGCCACTCCCTGCCCTCCCATTCTTTCCTGATATAGCTTGAAATTAGATGTTCCATAAGTTTGCATACGACTGATGTAAGGCTTACCGGCCTATAGTTACTAATTATTGTCTTGTCGCCACTTTTAAAAATAGATACTACGAGAGCCAGCTTCGAATCTTTCGGTACGCAAGCGTTGTTTTTTGATACATTAAATAACCCAATTAAATAAGGTAGAATTGCCTCTCCGCCTAATTTAATGATGTCCGTGGAAATACCATCAAGACCTCGTGATTTTCCTCTCTTCATTAATTTTATTCTTTCCCGCAAAGTATTTACATAAATATGAAAACTACATCTATCTACCAGCGTTGGCATTTGAATACTGTTAGATTTCTTCTTGAAAACCGAGCTGAAATATGCGTTAAAACCTGCGCTTTTTCCCTGTGGTCCGTTATTGGCGAATTATTAACACGAACAACTGGAATTTCGTCTGTACTTCCTTTCCTTCTACGAACGTATTTGCAAGTATTACAAGTAAGGTATTAAATTCCACTTCTGGAGTGGTACACATGGGATTTAGATCTAAAATACCCCCCCATTGCGTGAAAAACTGACAAAAAATCATGTCTTTTTAAAAACTAGAATTTAGAAAGAACAATGTTCGTGAAATTGAATGGAGTAAACCAGACTCCAGTCAAAACATTAGTTTCGAAGTAACACGCAGATTAATGCGTGGACAAACTCCGAAAATTCAGAGTACACCCCCATAGCGTGAAAAATCGACAAAAAATTAATTTCGTCGTATATTTTTAAAAACTAGTATTTAGAAAGAACAATTTACGAGCAATTGAATGGAGCAAACCAGACTCCAGTCAAAATATTAGTTTCGAAGTTGCACGCGGATCAACGCGTGAACAAACTCCAAAAACTAACTATATCCCCTATTGCGTGATATTTTTCCTATCACAACATAACATTTCATCGCGCTCAAGCTCTATGGAAGATTGACATGATGTTCGACAAAATTTTAAACCGGAAAAGGTTTGTTAATGGACGAAGTTCATGGTGCCTCAATTCTTTATATGAGGTGTTTCGCATTTCACATCGGAACGAGATACACACTGATATTTGATCGTGATGTCGTTGTAGGACTTTCGAAAGCACTGTGCAGTGTGAATGAGTAGTACTCTTATGTGATACACAGTTACATTTCTCGTATCCACATATTACACTTGTCTCTTTGTGCATCTTTCATTCCATCTACTTAAGTACTCTTTACATGCTTTGCACTTTCCCATTGAGTCATTTTTTCCTGTCCTCGTAATAACCAGTCACTTTGTACTCCAGTACAACATTAAAATAAAAAAATATAGAAATAAATAAAGCAACATATTATAGCTATGGGAGTGAATTTAACCGAAGTCCTTACAAGTTTTGAATTTAATACTCTGACGAATAGTAAGGCGCTTGTGTATGTACAGGTCATTTTTTAGTGTTATCGAAAGTTTGTTACATAACCGTAACATGTTTACATCGATTCGTGCAAATGATTGGACGTCGTGAGTCGAAATTTTGGTATAGGGGATTGTAGTACGTGAACAATAATTCTGTGGTACGAAAGTTGCGTTAAGCATGAATCATTTAAGTTGTCTCCATGACGTTATCGGCGACTATCTCCTATGTTAATTACATCTATACCCTAATCTGTTCATTATCTCTTTGTCTCACATGCAGCTGATGCTGTAATTGAAGTGAAATCCTACATTTAGAGCAAATTGGACAAAAAAGAATATGACACTAACTAGTACAAGGAATTGTGCTATTCTGTAGCGCCACTTTTTACGAAATCTTATGACAGCACTATTATCTTGTTTTGAAGATCACGTACACAAAATTCCACGCATTTAAAAATAAATCTGTAGCTTTGTATAAAAACCACAACCAACCTTCTTGACATTTTTAACTAACTGAAGTTTTAAACTTATGATTACCCGATGGAACACTTTCTTCTTGTGAAAAAAAACATGGAATTGGCTGGACATTCCAGAGTTTACTCCATATGAACAAATAGAAGGACAAAAATTGTCGAAACAATTGAATTGGTTTTTATATCATCAATGATTTTATACAACAATAATTATTTTAAAATCGCAGACAAACCGTACAATTGTATTTATATAAATAAATTATAAAAATATTAGCCGATCTGAATGGCCGAGTTGGCTAAGAGCGTGTAGTGACTCCGCGCTTCGGTCCGCAAGGTCACGGGTTCAAGTTCCGTCTTATGTATGGTTGTTTGTCCCTTGTCGTTCACGCATGTGTTGTCGCGGAGGGCCTCGCGTTCTATTAAACCCAGATAAGAGGAGCCCGCAAGGCTGTTAGTGTATGGTCGAATAAGCGTCCCATCGGAACGTAAAGGGTAACCGGCTGTCGGCAGGAGAAAAAACCCCTCCCCCCGCCAAAAAATATTTATAATTTAAACCTGAATCAAGAAATAATGCAGGAATAACGAGATATTTTCTTGGTAATAGTACAATTTGTTCTATAAACCATAGCTCATGGTTTTCGGTTATATTTTCCAAAATATGCCACTATTCTTCAAATAGGATTGTTTCTTTCCAAAATATATTTATTATCTTATAAATTATGACGAAATTTGAGAGAATCCTGCCTTATTATTTGGTTTGTTTGATTACTTTTCTCTTCAATTGTATAAATTTTAGGTTTTTCTTGACAATACCACCCAAGTATTGGTGATTTGGTCTCAGTCAAATTACACGATCATTTTTTCTTTAAAGCTTGCTACGGCAATTTGTCATTTGAAACAACGAGTATATTTCAGAGACGGCACTCAACGTCAAAACCTTATTTGCGCAACTTCCTGTGCCGCCACATTGTTCTGTGTAATGTCTATTGGGTAAACGGACAGCCAATAGCGAAGAAGTAACCAGTAAATGTGAAATAAACCAGCAACGCGGGAACTTCACATTTTCACTCCATTACTTTCCACGCCTTAATTTATTAAAAAATTCACTATAATAATTATAAGGAATTTATGGAAGGAAAAAAGTCTAATTAGGGCAGTAAAATCTAGTATTTATTGAGCATATTGATATTATACAATTTCGTAATTTCATTAGTAATAACAATTTTGTATTAAAGAAGGTAATAAACGGTATACCTTCACAATTGCAACTTTAGTATTTGCTTGTAGATATGCCAAATTAATGTGAATACTATGGAATACTACATTGTTAGAAACCTTATGAATGAACAAAATGAACAGAATTGAATAGAAACAAATGAAAATACTACCGCACATTTGCCAAGGTAAAACAAATAGTTATGATACAAGGCGTGAAAGTGCCATTTTATTTTGCGCGTAGGAAAGGTAGCGTCGTTAGACTAGTAAGTCAGGTGCCCCAGTTCTATAAGCAAAATAAATCACTTTCACCACGCTTTTTAAGTGGTATTACTGCCTTTCATTTCATTTTAATCCAAGAATACAAATTACTTAATTATGTACTGTTACATTAATATCATTAGTATCTGATTAGGTCACATGAACGTATTTTGTTTTCTTGGTTGCTTTCAAAGTTTTATCAGAACATTTGAGCATTGTCCCACTTTTAGCAGTAATGCAAAAAAATGAGTTTTCAGCATGCTCTGCATGCCTTGAAATAACTGCTTTTACTAGTTGCAACCTAAAAATGTTTTTCGTTAGTCAATAAATATTTGACAAAATTATTTTATTATTTTATTGCATTCACGACTCGTAACAATTCACAATCTAATAAGGATCAGCATTTAAATCCAGAATGTAATTGGCATGAGGATGAACAAAACACAATGATACACATATTAGAATATAAATTGAATCAAGGTTGTGTTTGTCATGAGAAACAATTATTGTCAAAACAGTATAAAAATACATAAGCAACTTATATCAATACTAATAAGAAAAAAATTACAGACCAGATAATAAGCACTAAACACATTCTAAATTTGCATGAAAATAGCCTCTTAAACAGAAACTCAAAACGTTTGTATTCATAATATTCAAATAAAGTGTCTTAACATAGCAAGAGGCATTCCAAAATTGAGAAAATGATCACGATTTACAGAATTAATTTTATCTTTAAATTTAATTTAATTAGAACTTTCCAAATCAGATGTGGGAAACACAGTTTATGTAATGGATCTGTATCCAATGACAGAATACACACTGATTTTAAAACTCTCGTTGTACAAACTGTCAGCGTAAAAGAGGTATGTACAGAAACTTTGTGCAAAATGAAGCAGGTCATTCACTGCACATAACAATAATTCTTTAAAATTATCTCTCCGAGTTCTGACTTCTCAAAGAGAACAATAATTTAAAGCCACTTAGGGTCAAACTCGTGGGGTCTAATATGCATGCTTCAGAAGCCATCTCTGGAAGAGGATCTGAAAAGCAAAGAATGCCGTTAAGAAAGATAACATGTCCTCAAATTAATGTTCTAAAATCCAATCTGTATCAAAAAGAAAGAGGTTTCTTTTAATTCACCATCCAGAATTACTAAATTAGAAAGCACAGAAATATCTTGCACTTACCACACACCGAAGTCGCTGATTCATCTCCCAGAATGGCTCCTTGCACCTGTTCAGAAGTACACGGATTTGTAATCGCCCAAAAAGTGTGTATTTACTATAATTTACCCTCAATTGGCACTAATAACTGTACATTGAAAGGAACATACCATGAGAAACATCTATAAAAACTTGAGATTGATACCTCGCATGGGTGAAAAAGATCTGAAAATGGAGACAAACTTGAAATCTATCCCATCTTCAGTAAATGCAACAAAGTAATAACTGAGATTCTTGAAGATTATAGCAAATATTTACCTTTCACAAGGCTAGCATAAGCATCTGCTGCACTTGCTGTAGCAGCATGTTCAACAGTACTGGTGTCTGTATTAATCAACAACAAATTATTATCAATACATTATACTTTTAATAGCATGCTCCTTTTTGCATTTTACAAACATACAAGAGACATACCATTTTCAGTTTGAAAAGCTACCTGTGTACAAGGATCTGAAATTAAAATTGCTGGTAACATAAGACTCCCATCAAACAATGTATTCTACTAATACTATAAAAATGTAATCTCTTAAAACTCTATATTCTACTACTATTAAAAAAAAGGCTTGCCAATTACACCCATTGCTATGTTGGGTGTCACCTCGGTTTGTACAAACAATGAATCTGCAAATGAACACGAACATTAAAAAAATTCCACAATTTGCAATTGAATTATTTGAATGCACTTTCAAGGTAAAAACTTATCATAAATATTGGCAGCATATGTACCTGGCGCACTTGCTGTAGTGAACCATTCACTAGCATTAGTTTCTGAAAATACAAATGAATTATCACCATAAGACTTCTAGTAGTATTATTCTATTCTAAATTGTACAATGAAGTAGAAATTTACCAACTACAGTGTACCCTGGTTTTAGAACAAACTACATGCATAAAAACGAAAGATAAAATAAATGTAACTCACTTTTGCACGTTTCTTGGGAACCCAAATAAACGTGTTTTAATTACTAGTTTCGCTTTCGCATTTTTACAGTTTAGCACCCAGCATCTTCTCGAAGCCATAATGCACGCTTCAGACTTCAAACAGCAGTAAATCACTTCGTTTCTCTACGAACAGCACGTGAATATACCACAGGTCGATGAGGAAGAAATCTAACGGTAACCAACCGGCTCGTTTGCGAAAAAAATTTCAAATGAATAAGTAGTTTACCGATTCTCCGCTTGAGCGAGCTGGTGTTGTACAGATGTATATGGCGTCGCTCTGAACTCTGATTGGCTACCGTATGGAATTTGAATAACGACCGGATGTACCGTATCTAGTGTCACACGACTGATTTGAAATATAAAACTTCTTTGTAACTGTTCTTCCATTAATTAATATTAAGTAATTCCAATACCAATTCGAATCACTTGTAAGATTCTCACAGTTTACGTATTAGAAAGATCATCGTTCTACCCGATTTAACTTGTAAATATCAGACATGCCCACTTTCAAATTCTTTGCATTCAGTTTTCTTTGTATGGAAGAACACGAAACGAGCCCCAGACTAGCTGCTTCAGCTGACCCGCAGCCCAGCGGCCATGTTGTCTACTGTTGTTCACTCAGTTTGCATTTCTTACATCAAGTGACCGGTCGTAACTGGGGAAGGGCAATTCTGGAACATTATATAAAGGACTAGCGCGACGAGTTTCCGGAACGTCTTAAAGGTAATTATCTTTAGAATATGTTTTAAGAATTTTCATCGTGTTCATGTTACATTGAACTTGAAATTTAGAAATTTAAAACATTGCAGTCGTATTGATTCATTTGAGTTTTATGATCTTAGTGAACGGACATCGTCTTGATTAAAATCACAATTGTAAAATGTCTAAAAATGAGATGGATGCCAACTTCTCAACGAAAAATGAGAATAAAATTATAACTTATTCTCATTATGAAAACTATACCGAAGCAACTCGTAGGTCGTGCCAAGGCGCGGTGGTAGAAAACCTTGACCACAAGATTTTTCTTAATACGTGCTCTGGACGCAAGTTTTGACATCTGTACAACATTACCAACAGCTTTCTTTTACGGAACATGTTGAATCATGGACTGAAAAGAACGTTTACATCATTTGATAATCAAGGTCAGCGTTCGTGTAATAAACTATTTGCAACCTCTCGCCAGACATTGTATATAACAGAAATGACGAATTCTTTACTCCATCTTATTTTGCAAAACGAGAGCGCAAGGTGAAGTACAGAGACTTCGTGGTATATATTAGTTTCGTGTTCGCGAGGAAAATTTTATCTAATGCTGAAAAATGGTTTTGAAAATTTTCTCATATTCAACTTAGCTCTCTAAAATAACTTACAATGCAAAAATTGTAACAAACGAATCCAAGTAGAATATATAAAAATTCGCAATTAAGAATAATTTTAAATTTGTTTTGCAAGACTATTTAAAGTCGGTTCTTATTTATGTTACTTGCTGGGCAAACTCTCTTGGATAAGAGGGCGCGTGACCCCACCCCCAAATTAACTTCCATCCTTGCATAGCAAATACACTGGTATTAAAGGAGAAAAAAATGTTCTTGTTGGTTGTTCAAATACTTAATTAACTACTTGAAAATGAAGTTTGTAATATAAAATATCTGCCGTTACTTGAAATTTAGTTTATTTTAGTTACATATTACATATTTTAGTTAATTATTACAATTACATTTTAGTTACATAATTATATTACATAAATCGTAATTTTTCGTGTAATTTATTCTACATGCTCAATGTTTCCAAGATCTTATTTTAACTCCAATTTTTTGAAGTTTTCGTTATTCACCTGTTGTGTCATTGTACCAATTATCGCCCTTGTGCCTAACATAGTATTCCTATTTTTCCAATGCACTCCGTATATGGTTCATTGCTAATTTATTCTTCTTGCTTATACCTGCGCTAAAACTGCATACGCCAGAACTACAAGTTTTGCATACGAAACCTGAAGGGCATGGAACCTTGGAAACACGAGAAGGCTATATTAGGGACAGGGGCGATAATTGGTACTGATCCTACTATTACACCATTACTCATTACTATTAAATGCTATGAAACTCTGAAATATTTTGTTATTGTGTACTGCATTATTTCCCAGACGCAATGCTGTAAAGATGTTAAAAATGGACCATCGCAGTTGAAGTGAGATTTCCGGTACCGTAAGCAATGGAAACAGGTAAGAGTTGATGAATAATTTGTCAGGGAATATTTCCTTTTTAACGTTTTTAATCAATTTAATGTTCAATTTATGTATTGATATTAATATAAATTTATGTTCATACAAATAGTGAATATTTATTACAAAGTTATCAAATCGTTCTAATTTTTCAATATAAGCTGTAATTTTATAATAGGTCTTCTAACACAAAGGCAGTCACTCTTAAAATGGATTGAAAACTAGACGAAAAGCATGACAAGAGAGGCCTTGAAAAACGGGTATTTTCATGATAGTACTTGCTGTGTTAACACTAGGAAATGTATCACATTTATTGTATTCAATTTGCGTGTCCTTTTAGTGTTATGAAAACAACTGCTTGATCTTCACTCAGCTATTTCTATGTCTTGAAGGATAAAGAACTTCACAACTAACTTTAATTTTAAATTATGATAGAGCCGCGTCAAGTACAGTATTATGATTTAATTTACATATTTATATCCTGTTTATTAAGATCATTTAGAACAATATCATCTTTTACTCAACATTAGAAAATATATCAAAATGTAAAAAAAAATCTACAGGATAAAATGTTAAGAGAAATTGTCAAAACTATCATTCTGGTAGTAAGTAATTACATATTTGGACACATTGCGCTTATAGTTCGTCAATATTGGACACTATTCTTTTAATCCTTTGTAAGATTTAAGTATACATTTTAAAACAAGAAAATAATTATTTTTATTGTATTTTCTTCTCTTTTACAAATTGGGAGAAATGGAATTGTAAATTGTATATGAATAATGCCACGATGATAGTTGTGTATAACTGCAAAAGATAAAATTTTCATCATATACCATTCTGAACCACAAGGTCGATTACTTTATTCAATGTTGGCATTTGTTTCAGGCGAATTCTGCCTTGTGCCTCCCACCTCGTAAGGGCATCAGGCGGCTCTCTCTCGTGCTGACCCTGCTACACTGTATTTTGCAGAAGTGCACAAGCGGACCCCTCGGATATTCTGTGGTAAGCGAGGGAGAGGTTTCCGTTTCTTCTTGATGGCGCCCTTGCATGGAGCCCGCGCGGCTCCGCAGGCAAAACGCAAGAGACCAACGGGGAAATTTCTTCTCGTAATTAGTGACGATATCTCTTCCGCAATCGGTAATGCTTAACGGGAAACCCATGTGGTTGCGTGGAAGCTGGTTTGTTTGGATGCATGTGTAGTTTGTTTTGTTGCCTTGAATCTAAAGATTGTTGTATTCAATTGGTAGGATTTTGTTTTGTGTGAGCGGTAAGTTACGCGTGAATGGAAGAGTGTCCTGCAACTAGTTTCGGTTGGCTGGCGCAATTAATATTCTGATATCGAGGATAGTAGTCAAGAGTCAATTCACATGTGTAAAAATGTCTTGCGCGTGCATATGGAATGTACTGTGTATGCAGAGGTGTACGAGACGGGACTGGCTCCTGGAAAAATGCCCATATGACGTTGTATGACTAGTATGTCCAATCGTTACCCGGAAACGTGTCCCGGCGCTTAGTTGGCACAGGAGCAAGTTCGGCTACTAGTGCGGCATTTACGAGACGCAACCTACGCCGCCAAATCAATTCCCTCCTGTCCCGCACTAATGACATGAACTAAGGGAGGTACCTCAAATTGCTCCCTGAGAATAGAGCTGAAGTATCCTGGGGTAAAAGCAGGGACCTAGGTTTGCGACCTTAGCATGATGGGGTGGGAGCTGAGTCGCTCGATTGCTGTCTATGACAATTGCGTTGTCGGCATTCATAGGCGGTCCTCACTCGGTCGACGCTAACCCGTCTGATCCTCCCTTGCCCTTTTTGATCGACAATTTGGTAAGGACCAATTAGAGCGCTGGAAGCAAACGACGCGTTTGAGAAGCTACCAAGGTCCTTGCAATTGTCGTTTCGGTGTAACAGAAGGTGGAACGTCTCGACGGCAGGTCATAAGGGAGTCGCATATTGAAGTTCCAACGATCTAACTTTGCTTTAAGCCTCTAGTGAAGGTAGTATTAAATTAGTATGAGGGATACGACGTAGAAAAAAGTGCAGTACAATCCATTAAATCTGTGTGCACTCAAAACGTCGGATTTGAGCAAGAGCTGAGAATGTGCTCAAACTCTTGAACTTTTAAGAACTTGACTGAATGTCACAAGAAAACTCCTGAAAGCGACTGGCAAAACGTTAAAAATAATCTGAATTTCTGGTTTGCTATGCGGGTTGGTCATACAGTATAGGGAATGTGTAACTATAATAAGCATTACATAACACATGTCCTATCCCGCACCCAAGGCATTTATTCTGCTTAAAGAAAGATTCGCGAGATTTCTCTTACGATAAATAGAATGGTGGAAATCAGACTTCCATCCGACTGTTAGTTCCGAAAACACGTGAATAAAAAAAGGGCCTGAATAGAGAAATTGGGTGATAAATTAAAAAAAAATTCGTCGCTCCTTTCTGAAATCACGTATGTAGGTAGAACTCTTCAAAGGTAGGTAGATATATAATGGTGCAAATCGGATGTCCATCCAACTATTGTTTCGGAGATACGAGTGAAAGAAATGTACCTGACTAATATTTTTCTCCAAATTTTTCACCAAATTTCTCTAATTAGAAACAATTTTGTTTCACCCGTATCTCCGAAAATTAATATTCGGATTAAATGATTAAGTCGTGACAAATGATAGCATTCTCTTAAAATACTTTAAATATGGAAGCCGATGGTTCCTTCAAAATTGTTATACGTTGCATCCTTTAAGAGATATGGGCGTATACTTATTGTCTTAAGAGTCGTAAAGACCCCGTAACTGTTGAATTTTGCAATTTTCGAAATATTTGCAATTCTCCTGAAAAGTGTCCTTACACGAAATATCATGTCGAATGCGGTGGTGATAAGTATATTTTCATTAAAAGCTTTGTTTTTGAGAAATTTGTAGAAACATACTCTACATCCGTAATTAGCAGCTAAAATGCAAAGTTTGAAGTTGCATTTTAAGCATGTTCCTTTACAACGAGGAATTCTCTAATATTCGCTATACGTGGTAACATACATATACAACTCTGAAGTCACAGCGCTCTAGCTCCAACAGTTGAGGAGATAGTCAGTTTAATTTTGCCATTATTTTGAAAATTTCGAAATTTTTCAAAAACACGATTTTCATAAACTGATCCT